TATTATTCTTTAAATATAATCAGTAAACATAAAGTGTAATGTTTGGTCATGTTCTATTTAAGAAGAGAGCAAAAAAGATGGTATTTCACTTGATTTCATGTTGAAAAGGGTTTGATTTCTTATACTGTGCTTGTCAAAATATTGGTGATTTTAATGATATACATATAAGATAAGTTAATACCTTAAATTTGAGTTCTGGATACAGAGTTTAGAAGCTAGTTCCTGGGAAAAAGCTGCTGTATTTTAAATTTGAAATGGAATATAGCTATTTTAATTTTGTCACTAGGATGAATAAAGGAATTATACACTAGAGTTTGCAAGAGCTACACTTTTATTCATTCATTGCCACTGCTGGGAGTTCACAGTGAGCTCTCCTGTGCCAGAGAGGTTGCTGATCTGAGCCTCTCAGGGCAGTAACACTCATTTTATCTGCTGTGTGAGACCTTATTTGGAAATAAAGATCTTTAAACACTGAAAGTGCTTGTTCTCTCATAGAAACAGTTTTTATAAGTTAGGGGTACAGAGTTCAAAACACTCAAGCCAGGTAGGAAATGTTTGAAAACTTTAAAATGAAATAAATTAGCAATATAAAATTGGAATCTAGCTACTGACTTTAAGAATTTTTGTTTGGTTGTCTTGAGGCTTTTTTTGTTTTAATGAAAAAGTTTAAGCTTTTTAGTAATGTATTAAAATTTATATAGTTTATTATTATATTAAACTTAAATAGTTTAAATAATATGTGCAATTTAGAATCCATGGACTTGTTTCTTTGATTTTTTTTTTTTTTCTTTCTTTCTTTTTGGTCCTGGGGATTGAACTTGGGTCCTTGTGCTTGCGAGGCAGGTTTCAGACCACTGAGCTAAATCCCCGGCCCATCTTTTACTTTCTTGCTGTAGACAACAGTTGAGAGACGGGAGGCATGCACCACAAGTACCAGAATCACTTCTGATATTTTTACCACACTAGGTTTTTTCCTGTCCCAACCACATCCCCAGCAACCCCCTGAAGGGCTGAGCAGCCTCGAGGCCAGACCACTGACCTGCTGTGGCATGGTAGTGGAGTCCCATCTCTTGGGTCTAGGACAGTGTGAGGTGGATTGGGATGTAGGCCTTGAATTTGTGTGTGTCACTTCCTTATATCCGAACTAGTCTTGGTCCACGGAGAAGAGATTGTAGAAGAGTGGCTTTTTTTCTAAATTTTCCATAAGAATGAATTTTTACTAAAGTCACAGTTGAATAGTAGTACTTCTAAGTTTATAGGGAAAAGAGCCTCCTGTTCAATCCTTCCCCATCCCTGGAGGCATTCAGCCTTCAATTTTTTTTTTCCTGGCACACCAGTTTCATGTTTCTAAGTAATACACAGCTATTTCTTAGTTTATTATTTTTAGGTATTTGTCTATGTCCTATTATAACAAGACTTGTCTTTTTTATTTCCCCTTATTCCAGTACATTTTTTTTTGTTAACACTATCATTTGCATGATTTTAACGATACTTGTTTTCACTCCTGAGCTATTTTATTGTACTTACATATTTATTCTCAGAGCATTTTGTCCTGGAGTTAAAAATTGTCTTTTTTTTTTTACTTACTTGTACATCATTATTTCTTCCAAAACAGTACTAAATAAATTTGTAGAACTATTTGTTTCATTGTACACTAGTTCTCTCTTCTAAGTGTCCAACTCTTTTCCTGAAATATCACAATTATGCTAAGGTGTTTTCCCCTCTATTTGGGCTCCGTATTTTCTGGACTCCATGTCTTTATTAGCTCATGTGTTTGTTAGAATGCTTCCTTCAGTAGTTTCTTGGGAAAGATATACGGGTTTTGTGTTATCTTCAGGCTTCATATATCTAAAAGATAATATGCTTAGCATATGAAATTCTAGGTAGAAAATGAAATTCAGGATTTAAAGTAAGTGACCAGTGTATGTATTCAAATTCAGAATTTTGAAAGCATTGCTATATTATCTTCTAGGCACAGTGGTAAGATTTGGTACAGTTTTATATCTGTTTTGTCTTAGCTTTTGCTCTTGAAAATCTCTCACTAGTATTGTAAAAATTGCGTGATGTGTGCTTTGGTGGGCTTGACAATCTGAAAAAAAATTTTTTTTACCCTTATCCCACCAGCTTTTTTTTTTTTTTCCCATTTTTTGAGACAGGGTCTCACTATGTAGTTGAGACTGACCTGGAACTCACTGTGCAGCCCAGGCTGGTCTCAAACTTGCAGCAGTTCTGCCTCAGCCTCCCGAATGATGGAATTAGAAGTGTCCCCCACCATACCCGGCTACACCAGCTTTTTCTTTGATGTAGAACTGCCTGAAGTACTAGAGCTTGGAATTGAGCTTCAGGCCTTTATTTTTTTTGGTACAGGGGATCAAACTCAAGACCTTGTGCTTGTGAGGCAGGCGGCGGCACCACTGAGCTAAATCCCCAGCCCTCAATTTTTTTCCACTCTGCATATTGCACTTTATTTTTGGATAATGTTAAATGACCTGCCTGTGTTTAGCTGTGTCCTTTTGCCTGCAGGTCCGGAGCCTGACTAAGTCCCGTAGGGTCATTCAGCTTCCTCATCAGTGAGAGTCCTACTAAGCAGAGGCACCACTCTCACCCTCATGAGTACATGGATTGAACTCTTCGCTAAATTTGCTATTTTTGTTTTTTATGGTTTTGTAAATTTTTATTGTACCTTTTTCTGGGGAAAAAGTTGTATTAAGTCAGCTTTCCTGCTGCTGGGACAAAGTACCTGACACCAACATCCTGAAGCAAGAGAGGTTTGACTTGGCTCATGGTTTTAGGGAATCAGTTCGTGTTGACTGGCTCCAAGCAGAAGTGACAGGAAGGTTTGGCAGAGGAAAGCTCCTCACAACTTGGCAGCCAGGAAGCAGAGAAGGGAGGAGCTAGGTCACTCATACAGGGATGCTCCTTTTCCCACCAGGACCCACCACACAGCAGAGCTATGAGTTCAACACCCCACCATCCCATTGCCTGCCTTCCTCCTTTGAGCATGAGATTTCAGGGAGACATTTTAGATCCAAACCATGAGTTTGCATTCATTTTTAATGAAATTGAGTAATTGCTAGACAGTGATTGCTAGGAGCCCAGTGTGGAAGAATACAGAGTTTTGAAAGTAGTAAGGTGCTGTGAAAAGACTTGAATTTGATATAGTCCCTATTCTTTATTTTGAGACTCGAATTAATTTTGCAATCAACATCTTTGATGGCAACTAATAAATTCCCTAGGAATTGGACCTAGAGGATACCTAGAAGATATTTAAAAGAAAAAGCAGGAAATATTTATTTTGATTTGACTGAGTTTATTGGTACTTTTTAGGTACAGCAGTACAGTTATATTCATTATTGGGATCTTGTACCTTTACGTGACAGATCTTGGTTCTCATTTTTTCCCCAGACCCCTGCCCTCCCTTCACCCCCTTCACCCTCCCCTATTTACAAAGACTTTGAAGAAACATTTTAAAATATCTCCAGATGAAACAATTTTTGTGAGAATATTTTCTTCAGGTAAGCAGTAGATAAGATGAAATAGGCCATCTTGCTTTACTCTTTGGTGGTTTTCTACAAATCTTGTTGAAAGCCAGTCTCATCCTCACTGATGTTGAGTTGTCGCTTTGCATTCACATTTCCATCTCTGCCCCTTAACTACTTGTGCCTCCTTTGGCATCTAAATTTTTTAGTCTCCCTATTTCTCATCTCTGAGAAAACGTCAGTACTTCAGAGGGGCTGTATAGTTACAAGAGGAGAAAAGTGAAAGCTCAAAAAAGATGCAGTTACTGTATTTGTAAGTACAGAAAGGATGTGCAAAAACTCATGGAAGAAGCCTTTCAAAAAGGTTGAGATGAAGTGCTTTCACCAACGGGAGAAGTAGCCATAGGAAGACTTCCCCACTCGCAGCTGCATTTTGTGGTGACTTGGTGGCCCAAGGAGTGAGTTTTTTTTTTTTCCAAGGATTTTCTTGACCTATAGTTTGAATCCTGAGTGTCCCCCAAAGCCTCCTGTTAAAGCAGGGGTCCCCAGCTCCCCCACACTTTGGGAACCAGACCAGGTCTCAGGAGGTGAGTGACGAGATGAGTAAATGAAACTTCATCAGTATTTACACCTGTCCCTTCCCTGGCATTACCTCGGCCCTGGCTCCTGTGAGATTGTGGAACATTAGGTTCTCATGGGAGCACAAACCCTACTGAGTTGTGCATGTGAGGGATCTAGGCTGTGCACTACTTAGGAGAGCCTAAGCCCCAAATCACCTTTTTTCCCGTCAGGAAAATTGGCTTCCATGAAACCATTCCTTGGTGCCAAGCACATTGAGAAACTCTGTGCTAAAGGCTTGGCTACCAGCCTGGGCCACCACTGGGAGATGGTAATCCTTCAGGAGCTGGGTCTGGTGGGAGGGAGTTAGGTCTCTGTTGGCATGCCCTGCATGCCCTTGAAAGGACTTGGTGGGGGGACCCCAGCGCCTTGCTGTTTGCTTCCTGGCTGCCATGAGGCACACTGTTTTGCTGCCATGTGCTTTGATGTTCCCCTTCACCCCAGCCCTGCAGGCTGCAAAGCCAAGTGACCATGGACTGAGACCTCTGAAATTCTGCCAAAACAAGCTTTTCCCCTTTGAAAGTTGGTTTAGTTCAGGTATTTTGTTATAGTCATGAAAAACGGACAGCCCTGCCACCTGGTCATGATGTCACAGCCATGCGCTCTCTCTTGCAGCTCTCAGAGTCCTTGCCAGTCAGAGGTCACAGTGGCAGTTCCTGCCCTTACTGGATATTTATATTCTGACACACACTGGCACAAGCGCTGGAAATGTGGTGTCGGTTTACAGTCTCCAACTAACTCAGAGACTTCTTCAGTCCTAATCTCCTCAGTTACCAACTACAGCAGGGTTTGGTTTGTTGTTTTAAGGTGTAGTTTCAGTAATATATTTACTGCAAATCTTAGACATTATGGGAAAAGCCAGTATTTCAAGTCTTACAATTGCTTGGCTAAATTAACACTAAATATAGACCACTATTTTGTGCCAGTGTTTATGGGGCTCGTGGGAGCACTTGTGTGCTGAAGGAAGGCAAAGAGAGAACTACCAAGTTTGTAGAAAGTTTCACTGTTGCTCCTGAGTAACTAGTTGCTTTTTCCTGGCAATCAAGTAGTCAAAGCTCATTTTTTGTAAGTAATTTGCATGCTGTTGGTCTACTGAGACTAAATCATGACTCTTGAATCTGAAAAGTCTTTGTTGCATGTGCTCTGTGCTTTGAACTTTTGATAGAAATAATTTAAGATTTCTTTTAAAAACTACTTCCTGAATGTGGAGAGGCATAGACTCTGAGCTGGAATTAAAGAGCAAATTACCCCGACTCACTCAATAAACCTTATTAGCTTTGAATTAAGCCCACTGTAATAATTCTGACTTGTCACAGCAAACATTGTTGCTGGAATTATTTTTGTGGTTTGATACTAGGCACCTAGGTTGGGTGACACAAAGTGTTTTTTGTGGAAAACTGCATTTGTCAGAATAATTGTAGGTAGTCAATTCTTAAATGACAAAAAATACCAGCTGTTAGTGGTAACTAGCCAGAGGAAAATGAAATTACATATTTCCGCTGAAGGCATTAGAAAGGGTTACATTAGCAGGATACACTTTGACCAGTCTTGGTGAATAAGCAGATTTTCATAGTGGAGTTAGGAGAAAGTGGAGTTAGCATGATGCAGTTTCTAGTAACACTCTGGTCTCTCCAGCTTTGTTGGTTGTCCCGACGCCCTCATTTGGAGATGCCAAAGATGACCCCTGGGGGTCAGACAGCTGTGAATCCTGGCTTTCCAGCCACGAGACCTCCCTCTCTCTACGCATTTTCTAGCAGAGTCATTTCCGAGGCACTTTTGGCCTCCTCATAGCCATCAGCTGCGTTCAACTCAGTTTTCTCTGCTAGTTCTTCAGTTTGTAGATTGCAGGTCATTTTACAAAATCTGTCGATGGAGCATGTTGTCCTAGAGTCTTTGGAATCATCTTTTGACTAAGTGGAAAGGCCAGTAATTTGAATATTTTTTTAGCTGTACCTTTAAGTCTTGTTTTTCAGCCATGATTTATGCAGCTAGTCAGCCTCACCGATGAAATCTCAGTATGAGATGTAAGTAACAGCAGTTAAATTCCTGACAGGGAAGCTAACGCTTAAGGGTACTAAGTCAGAGATACCAAAATGAACACATCAGTTACCAAACCTAAAATAGAAACCTCTTTGAGAAAGAGGATCCTGTGGGCTGAGACATACAGCCTATTTCCCTGGTCAAATATTAGTGGTTGGGATAATAATACATAAAGAAATGATAAACTGTGACACACTTCTAGAAGAATGGTTCAGGAATCTGACTGCATCAGTGAACACTTGAGGGCCTTTTTTCTGCAAAGGAATAAGATTTTATCTCTATGACTCTTTTACTGTGAGGCTGCTTCTGCTGCTTTTGCTTTTTTGCTTTTATTATGTTGAGTTATTTGTTCTCTTAGGAGTGCTCCATGAAGTATATTTTGGAATTCAGTAATGTCACCATCAAAAGTGCTCCATTGTACACAGGGAATTGTGTTCTTGTTAAAGTTTTGGGGTAACCAAAATACACTCTTTTCATTTTAACTCTGAAAAAAAATTCTAGCCCATGATTTTTTGACCTCAATTGTTTTTAGTTAGGGTTTCTGGAAGCACATTTTCCACAAGTGCAAGTAGTTGCTAGGTATTACTGGGAAATTGTTAGGTTTAATATTTTTATAGGAGCGTTTCCAATGCTCAGTAAATGGCTGATATTTTTTTCAGATCTTTTGTAGATATATACTTTTCCCCTCTAAATTCAGTTTCTCCTAACTCTAGTTATAGCCCTCTTCATTCTGTAGCTGGATTTTAAAGGGGCTTTTAAAAAAATGCTAACAGGAAGTAAGTAATGTGTTGCCATTTCCAGGCAGGCACAGTATTTATTGCATTGATTTTTCTGTAGTCCAAATACATGTCACATGGAATTTTTTTTTTTTACCCTGAATCTTACTTCTGTTAGTATATCCTTAACTGCCTCAAATTCTTGTAAAAAGTAGGTTTAAGTCCTAAAGAAATACTTTAGAGGTTCTGACTTAATAACACAAATTCCTGACTTCTAAACCTGGTACTGGGTATTTGTTATGAATAGAATTGGTTTCTACCCTAAAAGTTTTCAGTCTATTGAGGAGGTCAAAGATGTAAGTAAAACAAAATTAATAAAATGCTCTAGATATTCTGATAGAATAAGACTATAGAGTATCCAGCAATGACACAAGGGAAAGAAATTGGTTCTAGAGAAAGTTATGTTTGCATTGAGTCTTGAGAGAGGATGAGGGAGGGGTTTTGGAAAGAAAGGTAGCCCAAGGGAAGACTTGATGAACAAGAGCCCAATTCCAGCTTTGCTGCTGGCTAAATACATGACCTTGGGCATTGGCCTTCAACGTCCTCCTTCATCTGTGGAAAGGACGGCACTGAAGCCTTGGAGTCGGGCTGTCTTCATCACTTTCTCCTTGCTGGGACAAAATACCTGACACCTACAATTTAAAGGAGGAGAGGTTTATTTTGGCTCCTGTTCAGTCCATGGTCCGCTGTTTCCAAGGCAGAAACAGGACAGCAGAGGGGCTGGTGAAGGAAAGGTGCTCAACCCATGGCAGCCAAGAAGCAAAGACAGAAGGGAGGAGCTGGAGCTGGGGACAAGAATCCACTCTTCTGGTCGTGCCCACCTCCAACCGGACCCTGCTTCCTGACAGCACAGCCAGCTCTGACCTCATTGGTGGATTCATCAGTGCATCTACTGATGAGCACAACATTCCCAGATTCAACCACTTTACACACGCACACGCACACACGTGAGAATGGGTGAGGATGGGGTGAGGTGGACTTTAGCTCTAAGCCACAGCAGTAGCTAAAATCCCTCACAGAACAACAAACCCAGTATCGCCATTAGTTTCTTTTTATAGAGATGGCCTGAAAAGGAAGCTTTTTCAGTCATTGGAATTCTTTCTAGAACCTTCTTTTTACATAATTAAATGGCTACAAGATCTCTGTTGTGCTGCAAAGATATCTTTTTCTTCTGTTTTATTTATATATTTTTTCTTTTTGTTTGTTTGTTTGTTTTTTGAGACAGGGCCTCACTATGCAGTTGAGACTGATCTGGAACTCACTGTGTACCCCAGGCTGGTCTGGAACTCACAGCGACCCTCCTGCCTCAGCCTCCCAAGTGCTGGGATTACAGGCGTGAGCACCATGCCCGGCTTATTTATATATTTTTTCATTGAGTTTATTGGTGCTTTTTAAGTATATAGTACAGTTACATTCATCCTTGGGATCTTGTATCTTTATATGACAGGTCTTGGTTCTCATTTTTACCCTTTGTCCCTGCCTTCCCTTCACCCCCTCCTAACCTCCCCATTTACAAACATTTTATTTCCATTTTTTCCTTTTCTCATATTTTTTTCTTTTCCCTTCTTTCCTTTCCCCTATCCTTCCCACTTTCGCTACACCTTTAGCCCTTTTCTTCCTGTTTCACATTGTCAGTTATACAATTTGGAGCTTTTCATTTTTACAGTTTTAGTTTTTCACACCAAAGAAACTTCGGTATTTACACATGTGTGACTTATTTATTTCACTTAGGAGTATATCCTCATTATGTATCCATTTTCCTATGAATAACTCTAATTTCTCATGCTTTATGGCTGAGTAGTATTCCATTTTATAGAAAAACCACATCTTCTTTATCCAGTCTCCAACTGATGGGCAATTGGGCTTTTTCCAGTTTTAGCTATTACAAACTGTGCTGCTAAAAACATGGGTGTGCATATATCACTGTGGCATGATTCTTTTAATTCTTTTGGAAAGATACCCAGCCGAGGGATGGCTAGGTCAAATGGAACCTCTAGTCCCAGCTCTTTGAGGTATCTCTATATTGATTTCTATAGTAGTTGCACCAGTCTGCACTCCCACCAACAATGGAGAAGGGTTCCTTTCTCCCCACAACCCCACCGACATTTGTGTTTTTGTGTGATTTCTTGATAGCAGCCATTCTTTATGGGGTGAGGTGAAATCTCAGAGTTGTTTTCATCTGCATCTCTCGAATGACCAGTGATGTGGAATATTTTTTCATATATTTACTTGCTGCTTGTACTTCTTTGAGAAATGTCTGTTCATTTCAGATGCCCATGTTTGAATCAGATCTTTATAATTGGGGGACCTGATTTTTTTGAGTTCTTTATATATGTTAGATAATAGTCTGTCTGAGGAGCAGCTGGTAAAAATTTTTTCCCACTTTGTAGATTGTCTCAGCTCTGTTGATGGTTTCTTTTGCAGTGCAGAAGCTTTTTAATAAGATGAGATCCCAGTTGTTGATTCTTTCTGCTAGTTCCCATGCTACTGAGGATTTGTTCATAAAGTCTTTTCCTATGTCAAAGTCTTCAAGAGTTCTGCCTAACGTATCTTCCAGCAAGTTTAGTGTTTCTGTTTTAATATTTAGATCTGTAATCCACTTGGATTTTAGTTTAGTGCATGGTGAAAGATAAGGGTCTAGTTTTAATCTTTGGGAGGTTGAAATTCAGTTTTTCCAACATCATCTATTAAAGATGCTATCCTTCCTCCAATGAGGATGTTTGTTTGGTTCATTTGTCAAAGATGAGTTAGTTGAGTATATCTGGAGTTGTTTCTGTATCTTCTAATCTATTCCACTGATCCTCTGGTTTTATTCTTTGCCATTACCATGCTGTTTTTATCACAGTAGTTTAAAAAGACATCTTGCAAGCCGGGTGTGGTGGTGCACACCTGTAATTCCAGTACTAGGGAGGCTGAGGCAGGAGGATCACTGTGAGTTCAAGACCAGCCTGGGCTACATAGTGAGTTCCAAGTCAATCTCAATACATAGTGAGACCCTGTCTCAAAAAACCAAACAAAACCAAAACCAAAGAAAGACATCTTGCTATGAGCCTTCTTTTAATATAATCAGGCTTTTCAGGGCTGATGTTTTGCTATCATGAAAGAATATTACTTAAATGTAAAATCAAGGTAAAATGTTTATTACATAATTGACCTCAGCCTAAGGGAATCAGGGAGAAGAGACCCCAGAGGTCCTGGTGTCGAGCAGGACTCCTCTCTACAACATTAAAATTTGCTTTAATACCAGCCAACACCTCCTGGCTAAAGAATACATTTAAGGCTAAGGGCACATGCCGTATGAAAGGAGATATAAAATAATAATGTGTTAAAACCTCTTTCAATCATAATGGTTCATAATACTTTCTTCTTTTTGAATCTTTATGGCCATGGCCGACTAACTTAATTTTGTCCTTCTATTGTACATAATCTTCTTGCACAGAGGATTTGAGGCATCTCACCACTATGTGAAAAGTGTGATAAAAAGTGGGAAAAATATTAATTCAATTACATAATAAAGAACACACTCAGAGGAAAGAAGGTAGAATAACAAATGTTGGCGGAGTTGTGGGCAGAAAGGAACCCTTCTCCATTGTTGGTGGGAGTGCAGACTGGTGCAACCACTATGGAAATCAATATGGAGATACCTCAAAGAGCTTGGACTGGAGGTTCCATTTGACCCAGCCATCCCTCTGCTGGGTATCTTTCCAAGAGAACTAAAAGAATCATTTCACAGAGAAGTATGTGCACCCATGTTTATAGCGGCACAGTTTGTAATAGCTAAATCTTGGAAACAGCCCATTTGCCTATCCGTTGGAAACTGGATAAAGAAGATGTGGTTTTTCTATAAAATGGAATATTACTCAGCCATAAAGAAGAAGAAAATAGATTCATTCATAGGAAAATGGATACATATTGAAGATATACTCCTAAGTGAAATAAATAAGTCACACCTGTGTAAATACCGAATAGTTTCCCTGGTGTGAATAATCTGCAACAATGCATAAGATTCTCATAAGATTACTGACATTTAGAAATGGGAAGAAAGGAGCTAAAGGTGTAGGGAAGGTGGAATGGGTAAGGGAAGAGTAAAAAGGGAAAAGAAAAAAATGTGAGAGAATGAAAAGATGAAAATAAAGTGTTTGTAGATGGGGAGGGGAGGAGGGGAGGAGGGGGTGAAGGGAGGGCAGGGACAAGGGGAAAAAATGAGAATCAAGACTTGTCATGTAGAGGTACAAGATCCCAACAATGAATGTAACTGTACTGTATCCCTGAAATGTACCAATAAACTCAATTAAAGCTGAAAAAAAAAACCAAAAACAAAACAAAACAAAAAAAATAAGCACAAGGTGCTGTTTTCTGCAAGCTTCATGATTATTAGCACTGCAAAAAAGAAGTACTGTCTGAGCATGTTCACACTTTCAGTTATTGTTGATGTGATTTGCAAACAGTGGCATTCACTTCTGCTTTTGGGCAAATATTAAATGCACAATAAAGAAACAAAAAAAAAAAGAAGTCTGAGGAGGAGAAGAGTATTTGCAAAGAAGCAGCTGGTAAACAGCTGTACGATTCTTAAAGTTGGGCTACACATTTGATTCTGAGCTTCCTCGATAGCAAAGCAAAAAGACTAATTACAAAGCTGTCCACTAAAGGAAGTATTTTCTTCGGGGTAGACAAAGCTTTCCTAGATCTAACCTCTGTGGACATAGCCTTGGAGGGCGGTTCCTTATCTATCTGTCTAGCTTCTTACAGGCGCTGGGCTCTGGCTGAGCTCCACGCCAGCCTCTTATTTAATTCCAGTATTTTTTTCCAGGAACAATGAATCATTCTTTCCAGGACACTGGCCCTTGCGGCACACACGGAGATGGAAAGCTGTATGTTGTGGATTCCATAAATGACTTAAACAAACTAAACCTCTGTCCTGCCGGATCGCAGCACCTGTTCCGTACGTGTCGCCCCTTCCTGGCTTGTAGGCTGCCTAAAAATAGCAAAGGCCTCCTGGCATGTGTGGGTGTGCTGGGCAGGGCTAACATTAGCAGTAGCTTGGCTTTGGAAATGACATTTATCATTAGGCAGTTACTTTTGTTCTCTGAATAGGATTATGGGCTTTCTTAGCGCCTCTGCGAGGTTTGAACTCTTGTCTTCAAACACTCTGAGGAAGTGCTGTGGAGTCTCTGTCCCTGGGTAGGGGTGGAGCCGGCAGAGCTGGACTTTGGAGGCCAGCTCAGCCGGCTTGGCTGTTGCTGTGCCTGTTGGTATAACATCTGGGTCCGTGCCCGTCCCCACTCTCTTCTGGGGCCTTGTTTCAGAGTAAATTGATGAGAACATGCTCAACACATCTCCCAGCGTTTTAAACATTAAAATTCTGTTGAGCAAAAAGCCCTTCATTTTCTACTTAGAAATTTCCCCGTTTAAAGTTTACAAAAAGCTGTATGTGTGGGGGAGTGCAACACACCGAACCCGTTGAATACTGAGTATCTATCCTGCTCCCTAAATATTATTAAGTGGGTTCTGTCAGATCCTTCCAACCCCAGCTTTTCCAGCGTAAGCCCTAGTGCTTAAACACAGGTGGTCCGCTTGCTACTTATTTCATACGCCCTCAAACTCATTGTCCCTGTCACCCCCCCTTCTAAATACTTTCTGACTCATGTTTTTCTCATCATTCTAACAGGTTTGTTCAGCTCTTCACCTGCTTTTACTGCAGCCACACTCAATAAAAATGTTTAGATGCCAGCCTATGCTTTTGCTTTGATTACGAAGCGAAAGCTGTGGAGGGAGGTGACACAGGATGTGCTTATTAGGCATGGGACATAGTCACCCCTCAAGCCATCATCACGTAGCAGAGGGTGTGGCACCAATTCAAAGTTGTATGTACAAAAAAGTACCTCAGCGACTTTCACTGCCCCAGCCTGACTAGAATTAGCCACGAAGCCCTCAGGAAATGGTGACTGGATGCAGACAGTTCAGTCAGGTGAATAAAGCTACTACAGAATGTTGAAAAGAACCCTGCTTCCAGAGTGCGTCCATCCTGAAAATAAAATATCAAAGCACAGCTGGGCCGATTTTGCTTATATGAATACTTGAGTATTTCTGTGATAAAAAGAGATTCCTAGGTGATAGCCCTCACTCAGCTCTGTTTGCTTCAGGAGAAGAGCCACAGATTCCATTGCTCTTCCCTTATTCCCGCCCCAAGAACAAGACATGTCTTGCTGCTTCAGTAATAGCACAATCTTAAAAAAAAAAAAAAAAAAAAATGTTCCAAAGAGGTTGAAGGAGGTGGTTTAACCCTGCTCATTCTGTGAATACCAATATGGAAGAAGGTAAACAATTCCAAAAGTTTTTCCAGTCCAAAGGCATTCCTAATGCATAAGCCGCATTCCAAGTTGTCAGAGAGAAAAATGTGTGTATTCATGACTCACGTCTCTCCAACAATGGGATTCTGCCCACTCCTGCTGCAAGTTAACGCTGTCCTCCTTGCTGTTTGTCTCCTATTAGCGCTGGAGGAGAAAGCCCCAGGCCTTGGCGCTAACTCCAGAAACGGAAGCAGGAGTCTGTTTTTTGTGGGGCTGCTAATTGTGCTGATTGTCAGCCTGGCACTGGTTTTCTTCGTGATATTTCTAATAAGTAAGTATTTACCTACTTATAAGCAGTTACTTCCCACCCGGTTTTCTTTCTTTCTTTCTTTTCTTTTCTTTTTAACTAGGGATCGAACTTGGGTCCTTGCACTTATGAGGCAGGCAGTGGGACCACTGAGCTAAATCCCGGGTCCTCACCTGGTTTTCATAGTGCGAGGTTTAACTTTGCTTTTGGAGTCAGTGCTTTAGGGGCCTCAAAACTTTCCCTGGAAGAGGGAGGAGCGAAGGCCTCGAGTGAATTCCTATTTCTTTGCTAGGGGATGGGCCCAGGCCGACTGCAGAAGGCCATCCGAGCATGAATGTTAAATACTTACACAACACTTTCATTTCTCACTTGGAGCACCTGGCTGCCTCATGGTAGGCAACTTACTCTAGTGAACGCTAGGTTTTCTTTATCCACTACACAGATTTTCCATTGCAGTCATATAGTCACAATGAGGTTCCAGGCTCCCTCTTAGTTTTTCTTTCTTGCCCATCATCCCAGAAATCAACTTGAAGCACCCGTGAAAAACGCCAGAAGTGGCACTGGGGTTGTGACGATGGTGACAGTTTCCCGTGTGACACTGTCCAGGCTGGTGTCCTCCTGATATAACCTGCTCTGTCAGCTCTTGCCCTGGGCTATGCCCGTCTTACCTGTGCTCGGTGACGCGGGCTTTCCCGCATCAGCTCCTCAGCCTGGAGACCCCCTGAGCTGTCAGTGCCATCCCCTCTTTGCTTGGATGAGGGGAGGGGTGCTGTCACCTGGGAGGCCTGTCCCCTCCTGCGTGTGGCCCTTCCTGTGCAGCCCACCGTTCTTCTCCCTCAGCTCCCCTACACACTATAACCTACAATTATTTTCACTCTCTCCCAGACCACTTAGGAATTCAGGGAGCCTTGGGTATGGGTCATCTTTGACATCTGTATTAATCAGCTTTCTGTTGCTTGGATAAAATACCTGACACCTGTGACTTAAAGGAGGCGAGGCTTATTGTGGCTCACAGATTCAATCCATGCTTGAGCTCTTTCTTGGTGGCTGGAAGCAGACAGACAAGGAGAGAGAGAGAAAGGAGGGGAGGGGAGGGGAGAGAGAGGGAGGGTGGGGGGTGCTGGGGACAGATACATCCTTCGCGGTGATCTGCTTCCTCCAGGGGGCGCCCCTCCTAACAGTACATTCGGCCATGAACTCATCAATAGACTGATCCATCCATGAAGTTAGTGCCCCCCATGACCTAATCACCTTCTAAAAGCTCCAACGTGAGCGTAGGAGCCCTCTGTGGGGGCATCACTGATTGAGACCGGAACAACACCCTTTGCCATCCTGTGGCTCTTCCACACTTGTTTTTCTACCCTTTCACGCTTGTCACCTTCAGTCATCCTAAGTGAGAATCAGAGCCTCCTGGCTCTGGAATAAGTCTAATTTAGGTTCATTCAGGTATAGAGGAGGTGCAGGTGGTGATCAGGAGAGGTGTGGGCAGGGTTGAACCAAGAATAAAATCTGCTTGTGGTTTTCAGATAAACCTTAATTCAGCCTAGGACCCAAGGTCAGCCCAGGCCTCTGCACGTGAACTTACCTTTGCTCATCTTTTACAGAGGAATCATTTTGTTCTCAATGGGTTTCAGCGCAAACATTTGTTCTTTTAGCCAAAGTCCACAAAACTATATTCTTTACAACTCTGGCATTTTTACACAAGAGAAACAAGAATGTTTAGGCGGGTCACATTTTTAGGAAATGGCTGGGCCTTAGGTTTTTGTCATCAGCTCTGTGCTAAAGAGGAATAACGGAGAACAAGCAAGAAGGGATCCCTGTGGCTGCCTGTCTGCCCCCCGAAGCAGTTTGCAGTGTGCAGACAGAGTATTCCACAGGACCCCAAGTGCTGCGCCAGGGCTCTGTCCATTGGGTTTGGGAACTGTTGGCCTGTGTAATCTCAGAGTGTTTCTCTACTTCACGTGACTCCTCAAGGCGGGCAGGTAGGTGTGTAATTTTGCTCCAACTTTTTTGTGCATTAATCATTTCTCTTTTCAGATCAGTGTACTGTGGAATAGACTTAGGTAAACACGGTTGCTACTTCCTTCTGGGCTTGATCAACATAGGAAGGTCCCAGGAGGGGAAATGATTTTATACATCGTGGGTTTACTTCAGTTTCACACTTTTTCAAAGAAGCCAGTGATATCTCTGCCTGGCTGACCAACAAAGTCCAGCTAAGACCTGTCTCCCATATCCTGGACCATGTCTCACTGAGCAGGATGTTTTACACATGAAGGAGAAATAACTGCTGGGCCTATTTGTCCCAAGGTCGAGAGGTGAACCTCTAACATCTAATTTACCTTCCTGTGTTCATTTATCAGTAAGCCTAGTAGCATGTTGTCCACACCATTAGCTCCTGAAAGATACTTTTTGTACAAAACCTGCCTGCAAGGGAAATGATAAGGAGCTCAAATATAAAGTACTGATTTGGGGCTGCATTTCCTGGAAATTTTAACTCTGATAAACAGACCTGAAAGGCTTCCATCTCCTGGCTTACTATACTGCTAAGGGTTCTGTTTATTTGAAAAAATATATTTATTGGGTTCTATTCTCAGGAGTGGTGTGAGGGGAATTATTACACATTCATAACTGGCTGGTACTTTAGAACCAGCAGACATGTCAAAATAGGCTGGGACCCAAAGAATGTCATTTTCCAAGGATAAGCTAAGGCCCCTTTCTGACACTGGAACTGCCAATGAGTAGATAGGACAGTCACTGCTGGGGAAGTAATCAGAAACCTTGGCAGTTTCCTTTGGCTGTTCCCAGCCATGTCTTTCTCAGCCAAACTCTGTGTAGAGCTGCCATAGGTGGTCCAGGCTGGCACCACGGGGTTGTAAAAATAATTCAGTCTTCACCGGTTTCTCTCATGGGCCTCTGAGATACATGATGTAAGAACAGGGGATTTGCCAAGAGTGCCTCTGAGGACTCAGCACCAATGCAGGCATGACGAGCCCAGTGGAACACACTGGACACCATTGTAACACAGTCTGTTTTCCATTTTGAAGTTCAGACTGAAAACAAGATGGAGGATGTGTCAAGACGATTAGCAGCCGAGGGAAAGGACATAGCTGATCTTAAGAAAATCAACAATATGATCATGCAGCGACTCAACCAACTGGACTCCGAACAGAACTGAAAAAAATGGTTTTCCAAGAGCAGCTGCTAGTCTCTGGAGCATCCTACTTTCCCAGGAGAGTTCAGGGTTAAGAACTGAGAAAGTGCACTTCATCAGGTGGGAGATTTGATCAGCAGTACCAGGTCTGGGTGAGGGATGTGAGCAGTTCTGAGGCAAGCAGGGTTGGAGTCAGCAGCTGGAAAGGGGTGAGCTTAGTCTCACTTTCTGGTAGGGTGCTTCAGCTGTAATGGGGTCAGGTGGGTGCCTAGCAAGGGAGAGAACCAGCGGAAAGCAGGAGGATCCTGTTACACACTGAGCCCTTCTCTTGAAAGAGCTTGGTCTGGAGTTCACTGTGCCATTGAGGTTCATGGTACCTCACACACCTTTGCAGATTCCTGTGAAAGCCTTTGTAGCAAGCTGGGTGGGCTTCATAGCAAGTTGCTGCCTGGTGATTGCTGGTGAAAACATGGATTCCATGTGCTAGGACCACGGATCAACAGAAAAAGCCTAATTAATTCAACTGATATTTATTATCTGCCTATGCAGATCACCCTACTCTAGGGGTGCTCACCTGCAAGTGTGGGAAAGGGGAGATGCACGAGGCATTAGATAAACTTTATTTACCTTCTCATGAGGAAGATGTTGCCTTAGTACCCTTTTCATTGATTTGGAATAAACACAAAATATTGTACTTACCGATTTTTTGCACTCAAACATTTGTACAGCATACGTTTTTCCCCTTAACCTAAATAGCGATGTAGAACAACATTTTTAAAATCTGAAATTTGTGTTGGAAAATTCTTGTTGATCTGTTGAAAAGGTCTTTGTTATCAGGACTTCTTGTTGTGTGGTTTCAGGTAACACAGGGGATTTGATGTAATGACTCTCCACTGCTTTCTGTTTGCTTTTCTGTCATTTTCTCCTGTCTACTTATACAGTGTACATATTTTATGTTCAGCAATAAATGTTATGAAAAATGTATGGCTTTAACGGCATGAAGTGTAGCCATTTCATCCACTGTCTTTGTGACTCCATCTGTTCAGTTTGTCTGCCTGGATTGCTCAGACTGAGTGAGGTACGCTGACCCCTCTGACCGCCCAGCTTGGGAAGCTCCTGGCTTTTGGATTCACCAGTTAGAAATTTCCACTCAACATATTTAAAAGTATTAGCTGGCTACAGGTAGTTTTACAGAAGTCAATTGCAGTGGCTAAAAAGCGCGGGAATCCAACTTCGTGGTTGAAGTCCCCCTGCGTGATCGCTGACTGTGACTTTGGGTATCATTGGACGATTATAAAATCCATTTCACACTATCGTTTCGAGGCTTAGAAGAAATAACAGTGTTAGAAACCCCAATGCCAGCGTTACTGTAATTTGTGCGGCCCAACGGGAGGAAACCGAGGCAGTTCCACCGCACCCGAGGACGCCGGTGCTGTGTGTTTGTAGTCATGTGGCTGTCGCGCTGAATGAAGGGGCTGGAGGCGAGAGCTTTTCAGCAGAATAATCGCGCTGTGAGGAGCGATCAGTATAAGCAGGTTTGTTGTTTTCCTAATCTTACTCCGAGGCACAGAAGGACTCACGCTGGCCTGCTTAGGTGGAGCAAGGATCCCCTCTGCCTCTCCCGAATAAAGGTTTTGAGGTCAGGGTGCAGTGGGAGGAGTCAGCGAGACATTAAAGGCAAAGGAATAAAAGCAAACAGAATGGAGCACACTGCGCTGACCTAACTTGTCTTGATAGGAAAAGAAAGTTTTACAACATTTTTGGACTTTGTACATATTCCCAGGAGCCTCAGGAAGATACCATTTTCTGATAGTGGACTTTACCGGCATGCCCGTCTTGCTGTTGCCAGCCAGGAGGGGAGGGTTATGAAAATCTGACCCCACGTCCAAAGGCCTTGCACAAACGCTTCTCCCTTGGCAACGCCCTGTCTGAGCCTGCCCAGTCCTGCCCACCGCACTCTACTGTGACCCTGAGGCTACCGGGGTAACTAGGAGGTCCCAGCTTTCTACAAAGCCTGAGCTGCCCCTGCAGGAGTGCAGGAAACATGTCCCTCCGTAAGAGACCAGGGTCATCTGTCTGGGACTGCAGACACCAGCATCCAGTCTCTAGGGCCAGGTACAAAGCAAATCAGGAGGTTTAGAAAGAACACAAAACACTTGCTTTGTTTGCACTACCAACAGCTTGTGGAAAGGGGAACAATTTGGTGAGCCTGTCATTTGGACTGGGGTGTCTTGGAGTGTACTGCACAGACTGTATTATGTTATTACCACTATTTATTGCTTAGAAGGAAAAATTTTATGGAAAAAAAACCTGTCCTGGATAATTTTATCCCAGCTAAAATAATGACTCTATTTATATTCAGTAGAGAAGGATGAGCAAAAGAAATATATCATCAGAAAAGGCTGGTAATCTATTCTCCCCGGAAAGGGGTTTTCCCAAAAGAAGCTGAGAAAGCTAGAAAGCACCTTAGGACTGTAAGCTATGTTTCCACGGTCAGGAAGTGTATTTACACCTACAAAGAAAAACAAAACACAAACAGAAAACAATCAAAACCAAAAAGACAACAAAAAAGGGAATATAAAAATGTTCTTTCTGGCATCTTATTGATCATTCTTACTTGATAAAGTCTTCTTAATACAAAAAATTTTTTCCCCGTGGGTAGACAATTACTGAAATGTAAGTCTACTTTTTACAGGGATGATAAAAAAAATTTAAAAGCAGTGATAAACAATTCAGAGCAAACTGAATGCCATTTAATAGAAGTGTTAAGCATGAATGCTGTGCTGGACAGTGGGGGCTGCACCATGCAGCCCTGTGCTGGATGCTACTCCGGGTGCAGACACAGTGGCCTGCTCTCCACAGGGTCTCCTGGCCACCCAAAGAAGCCAGAGTAAGAAGCCGGTGACACACTGTAACCACGATCTGGTGGGAATAGTTTCTCAAACTTCCACTCCCGTGTCCCACGGCAGGCTTCACAAATCCTGAATTCTTGGATTCTGGGCTCCAGATTAGCAGGCATGGGGTGGGGCTGGGAATTCATTCTTCAGAAAGCTGCTGTGAGTTAGATGTGGTAGCACACACCTGTCATCCCAGCTAGTTGGGAGGCCGAGGCAGGAGAATTAGAAGTTTGAGGCCAGCCTGGAGAAATTAGTGAGAACTTGTCTCAAAAATAAATGAAAAGGACAAGAGATATAACTCAGTGGTGGTGTCCTGGATTTGGTTTCTAGCAACACACACGCACACACACACACACACACACACACACACACACACACACACGCACACACACACACACGCAGCTGTAAGGGTTCTAGTGCTGTTCATTAGGATAGCTGGACAGAAAATGGATTTGTAGTAATTTGGATTCAGATTGTGGTTCTTTGAGTTTGGCCTTGAGCACATTCCTCAGCGTCTGAGATTCAGGATGTTCCTCTGTGCTAAAGGAGAGCGAGAATGGGGAAAATGATAGAAAGCCCTTTGCTCTGTTGTTCACAAGTCCCTAAAAAAGTAAATGAATTTAAACTGCACATTAACAGTGGGGCAACATAATAACATTAGTGATCTCTCGACAAAGCCCCACAGATGTCTTCAGAGGAGCGCATGACTTCCTCCTCCACCAATTTTACTTTCAGTTTGCATCCCCAACCCATCCTTTCCCTGTGTCCTGAGCTCCTGTGTGGGCCCTGGCTGAAGATCTTTCTGAAGGGCATTGAGGCTCTCCTCACAGTGGAGTTGTGAGCCAGCGCCTGGTTCTGTGATGGCTGAGGGGGCTAAATAGCAGCCAAATGGAGGAGCCTGGTCTACCTCTTGCCTGAGGGAAGCCTGGGAAGGTTGAGGGGAGAGGAGCAGTGGTATTCAGGGCTCTGGCCGGATGCATGGGTGCCCATTGGAGTCACCCTGCCTGAGCCTCACACTGGTTATGCTGGAATCCATCAAGTCTAGGTTTTGAGTGAACCTCCCACGGCAAATGTCAGAAGACATTCTGTAGGTTACCATGACCCACATAGTGTAGAGTCCAAAGCTGGGGAGAGTGGTGGGAAAGAAGAAAAATGAAAGCACATGAGGGCCGGGAATTTAGCTCAGTTGTTCTGCCACCTGCCTCGCAAGTACAAGGTCCTGAGTTGAATCCTTGTTGCCAAAAAAAGAAAGAAAGCACCAAGATTATGCTTGAAAGCTGGGACCAGGTGGAGCCATAGCCTGTTGGGAGCTAATGGCTGCCTGGACACTTTTTTTTTTCTTTTTATTAAGTGTATTGGTACAATCTAGGTATACAATACAGTTACATTCATCATTGGGATTCTGTACCTTCACATGACAGGTCTTGATTCTCATTTTTTCCCCTTGTCCCTGCCCTCCCTTCACCCCCTCCTCCCCTTCCCATTTACACACACTTTATTTCCATTTATTCATTTTCTCATATTTTTTTCCTCTCCCTTATTACCTTTCCCACACTCTTCTCACTTTCCCTACACCTTTAGCCCTTTACTTATTTCACATTATTAATTATCTCATTAGGATCCTGTGTACTATTATAGTTTTTCACACCAGAGAAACTATTTGGTATTTCAGTTAAAGAAATCTTTGTATGAACATTAAAAATAGGGAATCCTAAAATAAAACTAAAAAGGAAAGTAAAAGAGAAAAGGCAATGATGTAACATTAAAATAATCCCTAATTCTGAAGTTGAAAATGGTCCTGAACATATTTAAATTGCTTCTTGCTCTTGTAGTCTTATCTTATTCTTTTTTTCATTATTTAGAGAATACTTTATTATCTGTAATCAAATCCATGTAGATGTGACCTTGCATATTTAGTATGATGTGTTACCCCTGTACACGTGGAAAGAAAAATAAAAAATAAAAATAAAAAAATTAACATTTCTAGACCAATATGTCTGTCCATTTCTGTACAATGCCAACTCAACACAGTAAATTGGAATGACTTTTTCCAAAGTTGGCAGCACCGTTAAAGTTTCCCAAAATTCAATTTATATATATATGTATATATATACTTATATTTATATAAAAAGACTAATAATAGCAGTATGTTATGCATCAATAGCAGCAACAGCTTTTCTAGGTTCTGCAGTCATCTGAACAAAATTATAGACATTCAGCACATTCCATTAAAAAAACAAAACAAAACAAAAAAACAAAGAAAAGAATAATATCCAGAAAAGAGCAAAGTTCTGTTGCTGTTGTGGTACCTGGCACCATTTTTTAATTAGCATCTTAATCATCATCTGGAAAGAGAACATTCTAGAGTAATATCATTAAATGTAGCTCTGATAAAGCATGGTCCCTACTATGTATCATAAAGCAGGTACAAGATATTTTACATTCATAGAGGTATGATATAGTACTGTCTCACATCAATAATACTAGAATCAGTTTTGGTTTGAAATTTACTTTGTCTGCAAATAAGATTGCTACCCCTGCTTTTTTCTGGGCTCCTGTCACATGGAGAATTGTTTTCTATCTTTTCACTTTCAGTCTATGGGCTTCTTTTTGCACTAGGTGTGTCTCTTATATACAACATATTGTTGGATTTTGCTTCTTATTCCATTCTGCCATCTATTTCTCTTGATTGGTGAGTTGAGGCCATTGACATAGATGGTTATAACTGATATGTACTGACTTATTATTGTCCTGTTATTGACCTTTTGTTGACTCTTTTTACTTTTTCACCTTCTCCTCTTACTTTCTTGCCTTGC